ATTTTAATAAAATGATTTCTAACAACTTATACTCATATCCGGCCCGAAGGACCAAATGTTCGGGCGAGGGCCTTCAAATAATATGGTGGGTTCCCCGGCACCTAACGCTCTAAACAGAGTGGACTGTATAATAAGGAACGCTGCTTACACACAACCTTACTTGTAAACGGAGGGTTTGCCTGCAGTGAACAAAAGGATGTGTAAGACAGTTAACAGACTTGGGGTAACTAACTAATAAAATAATAAAGTGTGATGACAAAATGTATAATAGTATATTAAAATCTTTATTCATTCACAGTGCGACTAAATATAGGGCACTCATTCGTGCTATTCAATAATAAATAAGAGTTGATAGTTATAATAATTAGTATATAATAATTATAATTTAACTCACTCTGAATATACTTATATAATAATACAATAAAATGATAAAAACTCACAGTATAGTGGAGTGCAGGAACTGGCCAGCTACTGCTCGCTTATAATAATTGAAAACAATACCATACATTTATAATAATAATAACACATTATGCTAGTTACATAATAATTTACATTTTATAATACACTTAGTACAATAAATTAACTAATTGTGAACGATTCACTTCTTGTAGTGATTATAATATTATATTTTAAGTTGAATGGCTGCACAACGCAACACTATTGTGCGTGTTGAACCTTCAATTCAATACTCAAAAGCACAAAAAATACAGTAAAAATTTAGCTACTTCAGCACTTTTTTTGGACTCTTACTATCTAACTAGTACCTACTAACATTACATTGCATTACATTACATATTACCAAAAAATTACAAAAACAAAAACTGATTATGGGTGACATTTGATAGTGAGGCATACAATCAGGTGTTTGAGGAGCGTAGGTGCCGGGCCTACTACTAGAGCGCAGCACATAATTGTTCACGCGTGAACAGTACACCATTCTAGCATGGAGGTATATGTTTTATTTTTGTTGTCCAATAGTCACATATATGGCGCATGAACGACTAGTGGTGTATAGTATATCAGAGTGATAAAATTACCACGGCTAGAACATTTAGAAAAGAGACACACTTAAAAGTAATATCATATTGAGAAAAACAGAAAATAAGAAAACTTAAGTTTACAAAAAAAAGGTAAGGGGGGGGGGGGTTGCTATAAAATCCCCCTTAAATACTCCACTGGCTGGGTGAGTCCTCAGAAGAATTATCCTCAGGCCTCAGCAATACATACACTGAAAGAAATAACTTTCAAAATTCACAAAACTGTTTTGTCAGATGGTAATTTGTACATGCAGCTAGATTATATTAAGACGTATCAAATAGTTTATTTGTTGTTACTAAGTAATTTGTCTAAGTTACATATGAATTCTTGTTAATCACAATTGTGTAATACGTACTCGTTGATTTGTAATGATCAATGGTTAGAAGTTATACAACAATATTATAAAATGTAACAAAGTCTCTGGTACTTATAACAGAAATAACTTTTAAGCCAAATACAAATTGTCTGTTATCGCGCTCGCTCTGAAGAAGCCAACATCCCGTACCTCATGTACGCGGAAGACTTAGCCATCTTCCACTCCCATAAAGATTTAAATCAAGCTTCATTTTTCCTCAATCACGCTCTGTCTATTCTGACTAGTAACTTGAACAAGCTTCATTTCTCCGTAGCGACTCCCAAATGCAAGGTATCAAAACGTCGATTTGTTCCCCCAATTTTTTTTTAGATGGCGACTTCCTACCTGTGGTTACTGAAATTAAATACTTGGGTCTAATATTGGACAGCAATCTCCGATGGAAAGAACATTTATTTCAGTTAACTTCTTTTGTCTACAAATGGTAAAATCTGTAAAGGTCTTAGCTGTGAGTTGGTGGGGCTCACACCATCTTCCCTACTTCAAGTTTACAAATCTATCATTAGAGCAAAGATTGAATATGGATGTGTGGTTTTTGGTTCCGCCGCCTTGTCACATCACAAGAAACTAAAGTTCACTACAGGCAAACTGTCTACGCACTGCGCTGGTCGCATAAGATCAACCCCTATCTCTGTACTGAACGTTGAATCCTCTTGCCCTCCACTCCCAATCAGATATCGTTGCTTACCGTAAATTTATACTAAAATACTCATCTTTATCAAATCTCTCCTAAGAGATCTATAGTTAACTCTATTAATACTAATGGAGATTCGTTGGAATGTTCTTACCGATACTCACATCTATGATTCACGACGGTTTTCCACATGTTTACAAAGTCCACAAAAAAACCTTTATATACGTAAAACTTGATGCACTAACTCTCACCCAGACGTGATCGTGTCATCCTCCTTCCTGGGCTACACTTCTAATGATTTACGACTTATGCCCCCAAGCATAGTTAACAATCTATTCAGACAGTTTATTTCCGAAAACTTTAATTTGAGTACCTTGGTATTCACGGATGGGTCAGTCACACAAGCAAGAGCGGCTGTTGCTTACTATTTCCCAGAATTACATATACAGTCATCCTCCAACCTGTCTGCTTTTGTCTCTTCATTCACGACTGAACTCTCACATGCATAAGTTTTCTCACTTGCGGAAATTTCTTTATTGTCTCTGATTCTCAAGCTAGTATTTTAGCCATCGCTAGTAACGCCTTCCTGTCTAAGTGCTCCCCTATAGTTCTAAAAATCCGCGCATTACTACTATCCCTTAAAATCAGGTCATTCTCCATTTCCTTCCTATGGGCTCCAGGGCATATAGGCATAATTGGTAATGATCATGTCGATTCATTAACTGGCTCCACCGCCAACCAGTCTTACTCGAGCCCACTGTGCAGGTGTCCCTATACAGATTTAGTCACTAGACATCGCACATCCATACAGGAGCTATGGAAACTGGAATAGAATTCCCTTCCAGAGTCCTATGCTTTTGGTTATAGGTTATTATTTAAAAACATCCCTAATCAACCATGGTTTCAATCCCTAAAGTTGAACCGCGCTGCCATTACTAAATTCACCAGATTACGCACGGGCCACAGCCTTCTACCACACCACTCGTTTAAATTTTGACTCAACAGTAGTACGTATTGTCCCTTACCCAACTGTGATGGAGAATACTGTGACTTACATCACCTTCTCATAAATTGTCCATCTCTATCTACCTAAAGATCTCAGCTAAAGATTCTCTTTTCCACCTCTGGTATTAATTGTTCCCTTATCGACGCGCTCTCAACCGACAATGTTAATATAATCAATCATACGATAAAGTTTATTCTGTGTGAGCTTTACCAATTTTTATTATTTCAGATACATGTAAAATGTACATAATTGTCGAGATATTTTAATTATATGTTAAAATATCATTAATAATAAAAAAAAAAAAGTCACATATATGGCGCATGAACGACTAGTGATGTAAAGTATATCAGAGTGATAAAATTAAAACAGCTAGAACATTTAGAAAAGAGACATACTTAAAAGAAAAACTTAAGTTTACAAAAAAAAGGTCAAGGGGGGGGGGCTATAGAATCCCCCGTAAATACGCCACTGGCTGGGTGGGTCCTCAGAAGAATTATCCTCAGGCCTCAGCAATACATATTTATTTGAGGATAGCTGCCACTGTCAATATCTATAACACAAAAATCTAGCTACTTTTAAGACTTAACTCTTCAATGAATTTTTCATCCGGTAGGTACCAATAATTTTTATATTTCCGTGACATACCGATATGTTGAAATTGAAGCTTGGATGGACGAATAACTTTGGTATAAACACGATACCATTATACCAATAACTAATAAGGTTAGCCTTTTTATAGTAGACAACTTGATTATAGTTAGGGCGTTGGGCTATATAATATGAGTTGTATTACTGGTATTAATGCATATTATTTTTACAATGGTATCTTTAAATTTGATAGTAAGACATTACAAAATACAAATGAACTGTAGCAAGCTAGATTATTCTGAATGTAAAACTTGCAATATGATGTTGTAGAATAAATATTATGTTAGGTAGTAACTAGTATAAATACGGACACAATACGGGTACGAAGACGTCTTCATATATAAAATGGTTTTTTGATAATGCCATAATGGTTATTTATTATTCGTCGTCAAAATAAGTGGCGTATTGTTTGTGCTGCCCTTGGTACACATTTTTTTTTAACATGCCTCGCCGTTTTTTTATAGTGATAATTGTTCGTGTTGAGAATAGATAACGAATATTTCATCTAGATAAGATACAGATAGTTATATTTAAATTTATCTAGATACAGATAAAGATAAATACATTTTACATTTATCTAGATAAGATAAAGATAATCTAACTTTTATCTAGATAATATATAAATAAAACTATTTTTTAGTATATTTAAATAACAAATATACTTACTTCTTTACCTACATGAACATACAGTAATAAGCGTACGCAGACATTACTGGCAGGGTATTCATACATTATACATAACACATTGACATTTAACATTTACAAACAATTTGGATAGAATAACCTCATTTAACTGCATTTGCCATAGTAAAAAGTTTGCAGAGTAGTCAAGTGCCTACTCTGATTACCCTGTACGCATGCTTATGTATAAAATAACTAATAGTAAGTTAAAAGGTACCTGGCACATACAATGAAAAAGGTAGCTAATTAATTATGTATTTTTAACTTGGTTTATTTTTTTAGTTTATTGGAAAAATGTATACTTATTTATATAGTTCAAATAATATGACAGTGAAAAGAAAAAACATAAATCTTTATTAAAAAAAAAAAAAAAATTTACTCATTTTATTACATAGTATTATGTAGTTAACCAAATATATTATTTTGCAACAGTACATCTATAACAGAGCAGCTTTTCAAAAGTCATATCCTTGAGTCGATTTCGACGTGGTGTTAAGACTTGTATAGCTCCACTAAAAAGTCTTTCTACGGGAGCAGATGATGGCAACGTCGTATTATATTTTAAAAATACATTTTTTACAATACAAAAAGAATCTAACATGGCCAAATCTTTTTTTTTTTTAGTTAAGAAATGATGAACTTTGAATTCCAGCTAAATTTGTGTTTCTTCTGTCAGTGGAGCATTGAGACTCATTTGAATTATCATTAACGAAATTTTCTGAAAAGCTGTTTTCTAGTAAATTGTTATAAAATTCGTTATCATCACTCTCGTTATTTTCTTCACTAGATGAACCAGAATTTGGACATGAATTAATAACAGCACTTAATGCATTACATTCACTGACAAATAGCTTTCTGCACAAACTTTTATATCTTATTGGTACCCAGTTCATTTTAAATTTTGGGTGGCTTATTGATGCTATAATAAATGCTTTACTCTTGGAACTGCTTAAGTTAAATAAATAATCAAATCGTTTTTCTAGATTTTGAATTATGCATAAACTTAATGGTTTACAATATACTCTATTTATAATAAAAGTCTTATGGACAAGATTGTTGGAGCCACATATCCTAGATAACTTTTTTTTCTCCCTGTAGTTTGTCCAGCGCAGATGCTAATGGCTCCATAACTTCACAATACTCTTTGAGAAACAGCCACTCAGTCGTTTTTAACTTATTTAATTTCAGTTCTTCAAATACGGGAATCAATTTTTCTTTATAAAATAATATTTTTTACATTGAGTTCCATCTTGTAATAACCGGTACGGGAAATTTACAATTACACTTATCACTTACTGTATCTGAAGCTGCAGTACTTCTACTGACCAGATTCCAAAACTTAAACAGTTTTTCAAAGGTAGCTTGGTTAGTTGTTGAATGTGGGTCGTCAACATTTTCTTCAGTTTCCACCGCTGCCCAATCTAGACGAATTTTTTTCGTAACAAAACGGTCCATAATATTGTACAGCTTCAATGCTTGAAATATTGAAGTACCTATATTAGAAAATGGCTAATATTAATAGGTACCTATTCTATTAATAATAGTAACCTACTTCGTACTTACCTCTTGTTACAATATTCAAATATTGACATTTGACATAATATCACACCATATTAAAAATGTATAGATAGATAATTACTAATTACTGCAATTAGTAAGGAATATTGAAACCTACTTTATTAAAGTTATTATTTCGTAAATGTGTTCAAATTAAATTGTTATTTGAAAACCATGAAAATATATTAATATCATGAATAACTTAAGTCACAAAGTTAACACTACAACACTATAATAGTCAGCACTCCGTACTCCGTGTCCGTGTTCAGTAAATTGAAAAATTACCGATTGGCGATTACATGTGCACGCGCACTACAGTCTACAGGTCTATAAAGTCTTATCTTTTCGTATACAAAGCTATTTTTAGTGTTTTGAGTTTTTCCAATTCTATAGCCTACCCGTACGTAAATAAGTATTTATCAATGATACCATGCATTAAAATTTAAATTACGATAATAATTAATATTATGATATTATTATTCTGAATTTCTGATACCTAGAATAATTTTATTAGAAAAAAAAAATGAATATTATTCATGAAAAATGGATATGATTTAAATACATTTATCTAGATAAGTAAATATGTCATCTAAGATGACCAATAGATAAATGGCACAATAGTTATCTAGATGAGATAATAGATGAGTAACTTTTTATCTAGATAATTATCTAGATAAGTCTCAACACTGAATTGTTCTCACCCATAAAAAACTTACAACACATGAGATATAGTAATAGCAGTAACATTTAGTATAAAAACATGTAAAGTGCCCGTGATAACAAATTTTAAAATTTATTAATTTATTTTTCATCTATTTATAAAATAGTAAACGTATTCAAAATTAGTATTTCTTGAAAAAGACTCCGATAAAAGCCGCATAATAGTATAATGCCTTCTTGCATTAAAATCATGGCTAAAATCAATATAAATATTTTAAGAAAACGACCAAATCGTGCAATGACAATAATTTAAAAAATGTTATGTATCTACGGTTTTTTCTTTTTTTAGTTACGAAAAACAATCAAAATCAATTTTGTCAAAAACTTGTGTATTGCTTAAAATTTAGCGTTTTTCCTTAATTTTTCTTTTGTTTTTCACTGCGCTTTTGAAAACTACTGGTAAAATTTTACTTTTGACCCCCCAAAGTACCAACTAGATTCACTTTCCTATCAGAAAAGATACTGTTGAAGAAAATCCAAGCACTATTATTGTCTTAAAAGGTGAAGACACAGGCAGACACATAAAAAAATTTAAAAATTTATAAAAAAAAACACACATCATTGTAAAATCAATACATTCATCGTTCCACTCAGAATCCAAAAATCATGAACATATAAGCAAAAGCTCTATTTTTTTTTCCACTTGGGTCATTTGCGCATTTCGCTCTCTCCTAAATGCACCACTGCTTATATACATATTTGGTGAACACTAATTGAAGCGTCTATGGTTTGAAAAAGATACAATAATATATACTTTAATATTTTCTTCTGTTTAATCTTAGAAATTTGTGTCTAACACGGAGCTTAAAATTGAATCAATGATGGAAGTCATTAGTCTTAGTCATAACTCATAAGCATAACTATAAAATTCTAAAGCCGGGCATATACATTATCATTCAAAGAAGGACATTGAGCAATGTATTTATGTGAACCGGTAAAGATTGACAGATTGATGAATTTCAAACATGATTGATTTTATAGGAAGATTGACAATTGCAAGTATATGCCATGCTTAAGATTATATTTAATTGATACTTCAAAACCCCTATGAAATGAACTGATTGAATTTGTATTATTGTGAAAATACAATTATTTTTGCAGTGGGAGATACAACATATTTCTCTATATCATATTATAGACGAGCATTCGATCAGAAGAAAAATTCTCTATGTAGTACAAATACATAAATTTCTTCTCATATATTATTATTTAAGTTATATATTTAAAAATTTTTAAACACAAATACATTTTGTACAAATATTCAAATTAACATATTTTTATTCTGAATTTAGTTATTTGACATGTGCAAATCGACGATATGGTTGTCCTGTGTCAGCAAACATGCAAACTAGAGATGGTTCTCTTATACCTAAATATTTCTGCTAATACTACACAGCATAATCATGAACCTGCACCACAGTATGCGGTATTTCACCGTAATATTATTAATAGGCTTCCTTGAAAGAGCAATTTCAGAAAATACTGTTGCTCACAGAATCGTAGATGATGAGATACAACTGTAAGATTTAAAAAAATATATACACTGATATGTACATTTATCAAATGAAAATGTACTTAAATATGTAGACACCCTGAAGCAGAAATGGAAGACCAGCAGCTGTAAAGCTGATTGCTCGAGCTAGGTGTAGAGTGGGCCCACCTATTCCTGAAACTCTAAGGGCTTGGATGGAGGTGTTAAGTTCAGAAAAATGGGGTAAAAGGCTGAATAATATTGATTTTAATGGATCAACGGTTCCATTCTTCCAAGGCCTGTTAGAAATACTAAATAGTGACAACACAGTAAAATTTGTATTTATTGTATTTTCTAATGTTAGATTTTTGAGGGACATTAGTGCACATTTTAGTAGTGTAAATACTATGTGTATGGATGGCACCTTTCAAATACAACCTAGACAACCAGCCAATATAGATCAAATATTTACTATTCAAATAATTGTCAATAATTTGGTTAGTTTTATATTATGTCATATAAGTACACATACATTTTATGTCTTATCTAAAATGTATTCATTTTTAAGAGAGTTCCAATTGTGCACGCATTATTATTAAACCAGCGGACAGAAACCTACTGTAGATTGTTGCAGTTTTTGAGAGATGATCTTCAACTTAACATTCAGTTCAATAATTTGCAAGTAATTAGGTACCGACTTTGAACTGGGACTAAGGAATGCAATAACCAGGGTGCTACCAGAGGAAAATAATTCCGGTCGCTGGTTTCATTTCATCCAAGTACTGAAACAATTAACAATCATGTTTTACAAAGTTGATTAAAATGTTTAAAAATGTATTTATTTTTCAGGCCATAGTTCGATTTGTTAGAACACACCATCTTAAAAAATATGTACAGCAAATGAAAATGCAAGGCGTATTTTGAGAATGGTATAAAGTATATTAGAATTTAATTAATTGAAACACATTAAATATATAAAATATCAATTTGTAGATTAGGATATAACATTTAGAATACATAAATCTTTTATTCTTTTTTTAATTTTACAAGTTCGAAATTACAACAAAATAATGATATGTATATTACAATTTCATTACAAAGTTAATTAAATCCAAGCTTTTGGACGAGTGGAGGTGAGAGTTCGACATTACCAAACATTAACATGCACGATTATAAGGCTATAGAATGCCAGGTGAATTTAGTCATTAGTTCTTATTAAAAGAAACTTATTACTATAAAAAAATATTATATTACAGACGATAGTTAAATGAAAATTGAGTAAAGAAAATTGTAATATTTTTGACAACAATAACAAGATGAAAATTGTCTATATCTATTATCTATACTGTTGTACTTAATAATATTTTAAACATACATATTATTTACTATAGTTGATGGCATTAGCTTACTGGCCAGGTAACGCAATAATGTTTCATGGAAATTTGTATTCAATACAATTAGGATTTAGATTTATACAAGACTTGGGTAAGTTAACCGGTGTTTGTCAATTGCGCCGATTTTTCTAGACTACCTGAAATTTATACATCTTTTGCGCCGGTGGATTTATCCCAAACGAAAAAGGTATACGTCTTTTGCGCCAATAAATTTATCACAAATTAATTTGGTATACATAATATATATCTATTGTGCCAGGAAGATATTATAAAATATCATATTATTATGCTATAATTAGATTATAATATAATTATCAAACATATAAAATAAAGTGTAATTTAAAAAATATAAAAATTTCATAAAATTAAATCATAAAAATTAAAATACATATAAATAAACGATGATAAATTACATATGAATAAATTGTCAAAAAGTATTAAAATTTCATTTCTTGTAATGGTGACTTACCGACTTCACAAATTGAAACATATTGATATATTTATATCTTGAAATATGATCATCGATGTTTGTTTTTTGTTTTTTATACTTACTATTTTGTATTTTATTTTCTTTTTGAATACTATTGATTTTTATGTATATCTGTACTTGTATAAGTTTTAAAACTTCCAAAAATACAAAAATATTTGGGTGTGCTGAGTAAAAGTATTTTCCGAATGCTGAATGAAACGACTCGCAGGCATTTGTAGTTCTTTCACTTGATATACTGCACGACGCCCACATAAATGGTGG